TGATTAGTCATGGAAATTGACTGTGTGACCTTGGACAATCTACACTCTCTCCGACTTGGAGGCAAAGCCAAACCTCTGAACAAATCTTGCATAGAAAACTTTATGGCAACCCCAAGGTGATATGTTCATTTTAGGGTTGCCATAAGCTGGTAACATCTAGAAGGCCAACAAGAACAACAACAAATGATTAGCAAGTATAAATACTTTGTATTTGAATGTTTAAATATATAGTAATTTTTGTTGTGAAGATTTAATCTATAAACATGTTATCAAAAGACAAGTTATTTAATAGAACTTTTTTCATAAAAACTGTTGATGTAATTCCTCATCTAACAATTTTAGACAAAGATCACTTTAGAAAATACTTTCAAAATCTTGAATTATCTTTTGTACAACTCTTATTCAGATGACTGGGTCAAATGAATTTAAGTTGAACCAACCACCAGAAGATGGAATCTCATCAGTGAAATTTAGTCCCAACACATCTCAGTTTCTGCTTGTTTCATCTTGGGACACTTCTGTTCGATTGTACGATGTTCCTGCCAACAGCATGAGGCTCAAGTATCAACATACAGGAGCTGTACTTGATTGTGCCTTTTATGTAAGTGTTTATTTTACCACTTTATGTTCTTCACTCCTGGAAGTATGAAGAGGTGATAGAAGATATAATTGGTTCATCTGATAGATAAAGCTTTAGGCTGGATTCCATAGCACAATTCGCACTGATTCTTGCAGCAGGCTCTTGCCTGAGATGACCTCTCTTGAAGCCAGAGTACCCTCTGGAGGAGCAGCCACCTTATATGCTAATATCTGGAGTTGCACATGGGCTTTTTTTGATGAATTTGTGGAGCATACTGCTGTGCTTTAAAGCTATTGTCAGATTGGTGTTTTGCTCTACATAGTATAGAGAAGGGAAATAAGTTTTTTACTTTAGAGAACACTTATTTAAAATAGGCTTAATTCTTTTAAAGACACTAGATACCAACCCAGATTTTGATAATAAGCAAATATATCAAATTAATTTGGTTTTATCTGTTCTGATCCACATTGAAGTTAGATTTTGTTTTTGTTTGTAAGTGAAGCAATTATTTGTTAAGATTTATAAGATTATGTTTGGTCAACCAGATAATATGCACAAATTTCTTGGAGGAATGAAGCCAAAAACATGTCCATTTTGGATGATAAGAGTTACCAGAGAAGCTAATTCAGTGTTAATTGTAAACATTTTTTTTTGGGGAAAAGGGTAGTGTTCCAGTTCCACTAAAAGAAATCATTATTAGACCTCTGTTGAAGAAACTCTCATTTGGATTCCACCATGATTACTGGCCAATTAAAACAAAGAAAACCATAGAGTGAAAGCAGTAGAATTCCAGTTTCTTTTTACATGGGGCTTTGATTCACTGTTTTGCAGTGGTTTTGGCTGACAATTCTTTGGGGCATTGTTTGGCCTCGTGACTGTTAGATTATAGTGTTTCTCAAAGCTCAACGTTAGATCTTATACTTTTAAATATTTGCACAAAGCTTGTGGAGGAAGATTCTAGAGTTTGGAAGATGGGTTTCATCAGTAAGTTGGCTGTTTCCAGGAAGTTGTGGAAGTCTCTGGATGCACTCTCAGCTTAAGAGGAAGGCAAAGGCAAATCCCATCTGAAGAAAAAAAAATCTCTCCAAGAAAATCCCGCAATAGGTTCATTTTAGGATTGCCATAAGTTGGAAATGGCTTGAAGGCGCACACAACAACAATTCTAGTTGTGATTAGCAATTGAAATTAGGACAGGGCTTTTTGTGTGGCAGCACTTTGATAGTATATTGTCTCCCCGCAAAAGTGAGATATTCCCCATCCATATTGAGCTCCTGACAGCCAGTCAAGAGCTATATTATTTTGGCAGAACTTTGACTTTTAAAATACTTTTTTTAAAATGTGTTTATGATTTTTATTTTCATACTCCTTTGTTTATGCATCTCATGGGATCCTGGTGGGCAGAAAGGTCAATCAAAATATTAATTATATGTTTATATTTAATACTTTATCAGCTAATATACAAGGAGCTTGTCAAAATTTTAATAATTCATTAACAGTCCTTAAAAATGTTGGGTGTACACCTATATGGAAATACGGGCAACCAGTCACATTATTTCTTCATTATTCTATTGTTTTCACATGTTACCACGTGGTTCCTATATAGTTATTGTGCCTCAGCATATCATCCAGATTAATTATTTTTTTTTATTAGAGAATATTAGAATATTGTGTCAAACTCACTAAATGTTTAGAAATGTCCTTATTCTAGTGAAGTAGCTGAAGCTATTTGTGCAGGGGATGAGTTTCAGTTTACTCTGTACACAACTTTTAAGTACCCTGAGTGATGTGCAGCCCCTGTGCTGTTCATTCACCTGCTGTATTCTGTTTTGGGCTTAAACAAAAATGGGAAAGAAGTGCAGTGCCAACCCTCTTTTCCAGATTCTTTCATGTATGAACTGGAAAGAGGTGTGCTAATGATAAGTAGATCTTTGTTTTATTGATCTCTGAGGAACATTGCAAGAGATATTTTTAAAAAGCACATTTTAAATATTTGTCAGTTCAGTTACAGATGTTTTTTTCTTTTCAAGGATCCAACGCATGCCTGGAGTGGAGGATTAGATCGACAGTTAAAAATGCATGACTTGAACACTGATCAAGGTAAACTAATCTTCAAATGCAGTAAAGTCTGTAGAAGTAGGATAAAACAGACTGTTCTTCAATAATAGGGCTGCAATCCTACACCTACATCTCTGGAAATAAGGCCCATCAATAGCATTCAGAGTAAGCATGTATACAATTGTGCTGAAACAGAAAACAGAAAAGTATTGAATGGAAAGCAGG